GGCGGAGCCGGGGGCACGGGGCCGCTCATGCATCCTGACGCCGCGGCGGCTGCGGCAGCAGCAGCGGCTGCCGAGCGGCTGCACGCGGGGGCCGCGTACCGCGAAGTGCAGAAGCTGATGCACCACGAGTGGCTGGGCGCGGGCGCGGGCCACCCCGTGGGCCTAGCGCACCCCCAGTGGCTCCCCACGGGAGGCGGAGGCGGCGGCGACTGGGCAGGCGGCCCGCACCTGGAACACGGCAAGGCGGGCGGCGGCGGTACCGGCCGAGCCGACGACGGCGGCGGCGGCGGCGGTTTCCACGCGCGCCTGGTGCACCAGGGGGCGGCCCACGCGGGTGCGGCTTGGGCGCAGGGCGGCACGGCGCACCACTTGGGCCCGGCTATGTCACCGTCCCCCGGGGCCGGCGGGGGCCACCAGCCTCAGCCTCTCGGGCTGTACGCGCAGGCGGCCTACCCAGGGGGCGGCGGCGGAGGCCTGGCCGGGATGCTAGCGGCAGGCGGCGGCGGCGCAGGGCCGGGCCTGCACCACGCGCTGCATGAGGACGGCCACGAGGCACAGCTGGAGCCGTCGCCACCACCGCACCTGGGCGCCCACGGACACGCACACGGACATGCTCATGCGGGCGGCCTGCACGCGGCGGCGGCGCACCTGCATCCCGGCGCGGGCGGCGGCGGCTCGTCGGTGGGCGAGCACTCGGACGAGGATGCGCCCAGCTCGGACGACCTGGAGCAGTTCGCCAAGCAGTTCAAACAGCGGCGCATCAAGCTGGGCTTCACGCAAGCCGACGTGGGACTGGCGCTGGGCACGCTGTACGGTAACGTGTTCTCGCAGACCACCATCTGCCGCTTCGAGGCTCTGCAGCTGAGCTTCAAGAACATGTGCAAGCTCAAGCCGCTGCTCAACAAGTGGCTGGAGGAGACCGACTCGTCCAGCGGCAGCCCCACCAACCTGGACAAGATCGCGGCGCAGGGCCGCAAGCGCAAGAAGCGCACGTCCATCGAAGTGGGGGTCAAAGGCGCGCTCGAGAGCCACTTCCTCAAGTGCCCCAAGCCCTCGGCGCACGAGATCACGGGCCTGGCCGACAGCCTGCAACTGGAGAAGGAGGTGGTGCGCGTCTGGTTCTGCAACCGGCGGCAGAAGGAAAAGCGCATGACCCCGGCGGCCGGCGCGGGCCACCCACCCATGGACGACGTATACGCGCCGGGGGAGCTGGGGCCGGGCGGAGGCGGCGCGTCGCCGCCCTCTGCGCCCCCGCCACCCCCGCCGGCCGCGCTCCATCACCACCACCACCACACACTGCCCGGCTCGGTGCAGTGACCCTGCGGGCTGGGCCCCCGCCGCCGCACGGTCCGCCCGCGCGGCCTGGACTCTTTTTGTTCGGTTGCTTTGGATTTTACAAAAAGCCCAGAAACTTTCGAACAAAACCAAACACCCGGACGATCCACTCCGGCGAGCGGCAAATGCGCCAGATAAGCTGTGTTGCCCGAGGTCTCCGAGAGAGAAGCGAAGATCCGGAACGCGCCAACTCGCCCTGGGCGTCCTGCCCGCCGCCTGCTCCCTCCCCCTATCCCCACGACGACCCCCGCCCCTGCCCCCCGAGCTGTTCGGGGCCGGATCCCGGCAGCGATCTCCCCACAGCGACAGGTAACGCGGTGCGGGGTTAGGGATTCCCCGGGAGAGAGGACGAAGAGAGGAGAGTTCCCCATCCCGTCTTCCCCGAGCGTGGACTCCCGAGCCTGCAGGTCAAGGGTGGGGGCTGTCACTTTATTTGCTCCGCGCCTCTTCTTTCCCTTAAGGATGCGCCTCCTCCCCCTTCCCCTTTCTCCGGGCTTGGTTTTTTACAGTTTTTATTTATTCGTGGAGCCTCTCGGCTCCTGGGGTCCTTCTAACTCCGCCCGCGCCCTTAATTTAAATCGCTGTATACTGTATTTATCGGGGCCCCGGAGGGGAGGCCGCGAGAGCCGCGTCTGTGTATAAAAGCAGGAAATAGCCAAAGCTTTAATCTAGCCTAATTTATTTCCCCTTTACCCTCCCCTGCCCTCCCCCCCAACAAAAAAGCAAAACAAAAAAAAACAAAACAAAAAAAAACTGACAAAAAAATTCGAGTGTTCATTTTTCGTTTCGTTTTATCCGAGCCGGTTCCTGGCCTCGCAGGACGGGTCTGCGCTCCCACTCACACCCCATGCGAAGCGCTTCTGCCCAGCTGCAGGCTCACCCGCGTGCCAGGGGAGGCCCTGCCCTGATGGCCAGAACGAACGAAACTTGGAAAAGTTGGAGATATTTTTTAACCAGCTGTAGAAATAAGCCGTTCCCTGAGAACCTTCTGTCTAATTCCCTGCAGCTTTCCTCTGCTCCCTTTCTAGCCCCCCACCCACCTACTTCCCTGGGGATGTGGGAAGCTGAGGGAGGCCAGGAGAGAAATTCCCCAAGTTTGGGGTGAGGTGGGAACCAATGTAAATATGTGAGATATGTACACACTGGTGGGGAAAAGAAACATTTTGTGCTTGGTTTTTATTTTTGGTTTTCTGGGTTGTCCTCCCTCCCCATCCTAAAGGATTTTGTACTAATCCGAAAAAGATATTTTAATATGATTTCCTGATTTCTGACCCATCTCTATTTATTTTCCGGATGTGTTTGGAGCTTCCCCTTTCTCCATTTCTTTCTGTTATGGTTTGAATTTAAATTTTGTTATTTTTATTTTTATTATTTTTTGGAACAATGTTTGGTGCATTCTCTTTGTATCTTTATTGCAAAAAATAATGTAGACTGGGAAGTTCCCTTTATATTTATGTTATAGTAAATATTTTATTACTCACATAAACATGTACCCCAGGGTTGTGTCCTGTCCTCTTTACTGCTAGGGCTGGGTGGGTTTTCCAGTGAAGGGACAAGATGTCCTGCCTTGCCTCCCACAAAGTTCCAGCCTTCTTAAGAGAAATCTTGAAAGAAGAGTACCACACCACCCAAACCTTCCAAGCACTGCCTGTTCTTCGGGCCACAATTGGGCCCCTGCCTCTGCTCTTCCACCTAGGGAAGATGAGCCCGCCCCACATCCCCTTCCCATAGACTTTCCTCAAACCAGACCAGGGCCTAGGACAGTGAAGCATGAATACCACCTGGAACTTGTGTCAGCCATTCCTCAGGTACAATCAACTGCCCTTCTCAACCACCAATCTAGAGTCCCTGTGTCCCCTGCCCAACTCCTGACTTTGGTTTCACTTTGTAGCCCATGTGTGGTATTCAGGCTACCTTCACCAGTTAAGTCTGGAGCAACTAGAAACCTGTTTAGGCCCACCATCCTCTCCCAAATGACTCGCCACCTGTAAACAAATTTGCTCAAGCCCACCTAGACCCACGGGTCATTCTAGTAACTTTAGACAGGTCTATTCAGTGGTCCTGCAGACAGACAGTCTTGGAGGGGACCTTGCCTTTTTGCTTGGGAAAAGCTAGTCCTGTTTCTCCTGTTTGTATCTGCTCCAGCTTCTCCTGGGAGAAATGGCACAAACACCTGTGCCACCAGAAAATTTCTCTTCATCAGGTAGGCTTCCCTCCACCATAAGAGCTTCCCTCCACCACAAGATGTGTGTATTCTTGTAGAATAGAAGACTCCACAGCTATGCAGTGTGACCTGGAGGGACAGCGTAAACACTGAGACAGTCCCCTCAGGCCTTCCACAGAGCACCCCTTTGGTGACAGATCTGGGTCCAGACCCCAAAACCATTTGTGTCTCAGTCAACATCTTTTTTTTTTTCTTTTAAAACAACTCTTTCTGTTTCCTCCATCAATGTAGATCTTTTCCCTTCTCAGAAGAAATCATGTGAGGCTTCTCTTACTTGTCACAGAGCCAAAGCTTGAAAGCACAATCACTTGGCTGGGGAGAAAGTTGGGTCCCTAACCAAGGGATGTTTGGGGCCCCTTGCCAGGTAAGCTGCCCGAGTCCAGACCTGTGAAAAGTCTTGACTCCAGCCAGAGGCATCAGGAATGTCCACAGAGGTATTCCCAGGCCCTCAAGTCAGCAGTCCCTAGCCTGACAGAGGCCTTGGGATGACTGCACCAGGCTGATAGTTCCTGGTGACTTTCTGACTTCTGTCCCTCAGTCTTGGGAGGAATTGTATGCGACTACAAAGGCTGCTGAGGCTTTCAAAAGCATGACTTCTCCCTGCTCCTGTTTGCCCCTACAGTTCAGTCTAGTGAATGAATAGTCCTACAGATGGCACCCATGGGCCAGCCACTCCCCATACTGGGCGGTCAGTGAGCCTCCTTCTCATTGTTACAGAAAAGGTGGCAACTTGCTAGCCAGCAGGAGCCACTGGGAACCCTTTCCCAGCCTCTGTTTCCTGCTCCTCTGAGTTGAAAACTTTGAAGCCATTCCACACTCCCCTTACTCCGTTCTGTTTCTCTGCTGCCAGATTTGCCCCAACCTTGGGTCCTTGAAATGGAAGTAAATGAAGCCTGAGGATCTCTGGAAGCCCTGACCCCAAAGGCCCTGAAGGGTTTGAGCTTGGGGAGGACTACAAGGAATATGGGGCCTGTCACTGGTCTCTGCCTGTAGTTGACACCGATTGATTGTTTCATTTCTTAATTGTCTGGTTAATCCTGTACAATAGAGTGGGTTTATTATTTAAGCAAGTCAACTCAAAAAAGCAAAACAAAGCAGCCTCCAAAGAACTAGCAGCAGCTGAGGTGTAGAACAAAAAGAAAGAGAATAAAAAGTGGGAAAGTGCATGGAAGAAAATCTTCCACTTTTGCAAGGATTTTGCTTAATGAGACACCAGCCTGGAAACGGCTACCCAGGATCAAACCTGGGTGGCAGAAGACCCGAATGCTTCTTCCCCAAGACACAAATAAAGGGTGATGGTAGGAACCTCAGCAGCTTTGGAGAAAATAGTTTTCCTGGATGCTCAGTCTGGATAGAATAGAATTTAAGAAAAGGCACAGTGAGCAGTAGGCTCACCAGCGGTTTCTCTATCCCATACGTCTGTATTTGCACCTGCTCCCTCCTGAGTACTTCGATCAGGAGAGTCATCTGTCCCTAAGTGTCAACCTCCAAAGAAGCTGGAGCTTTCCTGAGCAAATGTGAAATTTCCTGTCCCTACCTCCCCTCCCTTTTGTACTTGAATAGCATTATTCATTTTATCCTGAGTGAGCCCATGGCCACTGGTTCTGGTAGTTACAGAGAACCTTCTTCTCCCCTTGGAAATCTCTGCGTGTTGGTGTGAGAATTTGGGGATATGCTACTTGTGTGCAAACCGGTAGCTGATCCCAGAGGTGGGCTGGGATGGAGAAAACATAGTACACTACAAATTCTCTGAGCTGGAAAGAACATCTTCAGGGTAGGGTTTAGCTAATATCAGAAGGAAGGCGGATGAGCATTGTGGTCAGCTGTGGTTATCAGGGTAAACCCAGCAGTTACCATTCTCTGAACCCAGGACATGGATATTTTCCCTTACTTCCTGCCGAGGAAGGTCATGTCAGCTTCTGTGTTATGTAGTGTAGGTCCTCGGCACTTGTCACTAGGCCCTCAGAATTAACTGGGTGATCAGGGCTAGCTGATCCCAACCACAGTTGCTAGCTAGAAGCTGTTTAGAGAAATCAGCCTCCCCAGGAGAAGCTCTCAGCTGTTTGGGAAGGGACACACACACACACACACACACACACACACACCAGTGTCTCAACCAGAATCAGGCTGCCTCCTTTACTTGGGACTTTCCTCAGCAGATGGAACTACAGAAAGGAGATCCATCTATGCAGGGAGCAGAGCAAGAGAAGACTGGCATCTGGCCTCGGTGCTGCCTTTAAGCTTAGCCAAGAGGACCTACCCAGACCTCCAGCTTCCAAACTGAGGCTAGAGGCAGCTAGAGGAGCCATCAGTTCTGTCCCCTCCAGCTGTATAGGAAAGCTCTGGAGTTAAGGTTTGACCAGTCTTCGGGGTTCTTCCTCCCTGCCTCCAAGCACTCCATGTGGGAGGACTGCCCTCTATTGGTCCCTGAGCTGGAACATGGCAAAAGTCAGCTGAACTACCTTGAAGTGAAGCATGCCCTTAAAATCAGCTACAAGTGGCTACTTGTGGGGTGTGGCAGCTCCAGTGGATGAAACTGTAGCTCCCAGGGGAAGCAATCCTACTTGTGCACAAGCATACCTGCGCTTGCCCAAGGCCCTTCCCTCTTCCACTTCCCATTAATTTGCATGGCCACTCTGAGAAGCCCACCCACCACTCCTCTTCTCAGCCAGTTAGAAGCCCAACCTGCACCTTCACCAGCTTGCTCACATAAATGCCAACACTCCTGTAATATACCCACACCACTGTTTTGGCCATCCGAAACAATCTTTTTGGTCTTTGGCACGGAGCTCTTAGGAGCCACCAAGTGCCTTGCACATGGAATATTTAATTGTGCACACACAA